CCATACCACCCTCAAACAAATGGACTTGTAGAAAGATTTAATCGTACTTTATTAGAATCTTTAGCAAAATTATCAACAGATCATATTGATAATTGGGATAATTATATTGCACCAATTTTATTTGCTTATCGTACTACAAAACATTCGACTACAAAAATCGCACCTTTCTTTTTATTATATGGACGAGATGCTAAACTACCAACTGATTCATTAGAAAATAATGGAACTCCAACTTTAATAAATCACATAGAAAATTTAGTTGACCAACTACCTCAAGAAATTGAAATAGCTAAGACAAATATTGAATTATCTCAACAAAAACAAAAAGAACGACATGATAGAAAATTACGACATCAAATAAAATTTTCTATTGGAGACAAAGTCTTATATTATGACGCAGCAAAAAAAAAGCAATGGACTGGAAAACTAAATCCAAAATGGAAAGGACCATACTATATTCATCAAGTTGGAGAAAAAGAAGCGTACAAATTACGAACTATAGATGGAAAAGTCTTACGAACTCCTGTAAATGGAAGTTTATTAAAATTGTATCACGATCGACAAAATTGGGAACCAATAATTGTAGTATAATTAGTCACGATTAAGATCTACAACTCGTGGCAAATAGTTAATTTTACTTAGTACGATTTACAAGTGTTACAGACGATTAAAATGAATTTGCGACTCAATGCCCCAGAAAAATTTATTAAAAAGATGAAAAATTTTAGAAATTTTATTGTGAAAAACTTAATGAAAAATTTATTACAAAAATATATTAGAAAATTATAGGGAAAATCAGAAAGAAGAAATTTTTTTTTTTTATTTAATCAACTTCTTCATAACTAGGATTAGAAGTAGAACCATTTGACAAAATTATATTACATTCCTCAAAAAGCATTTGTTTTGCTTCTTCAAATGCTGCTTCAGCACGACCTCTACTACTCTGCAAGCTTATATTATGTGAAATTAATTGACAAACTCCTTCTTCCAGACCTTCTATTGTTCGCTGTTGGTCGATGATTAACTTTTGGGCCTCCCATAATTTCCGCTGCTCTCCAGCCCAGATTTTATTATGAAACTCCGTCTCGAGACTCTTATGGGCCCCATCTCCAGCAAATTTTCAAACTTCTCTTCAAGTTCTTCTTTTTCTTCTTTAGCTTTTGCAAGATCCTCTATTAGAAATAAAAATGGAGATTTATGGTCACTCCAAGTTAGTTAAAAACTAAGTGGATAAATCGATAGCACAAAAGAGTTCTACAGGTAGAGGCCTTTCAAGACTTAAATATCCTAGAAGTACAAGTACCCCGTCTACAAGCTGCGCAAAATCAACCTTTAAAGAACAGGATATAAGGTCAAAACCCTGTCTACAGGCAATCATACCGTTCAAGAGACATCTTAAGAACCTTGCGTACAATACCCACCTTCAAGTTGACGAACTTTCATCTTACGCGCTTCTTTAAGCCTTTGAAATCTTGCTCGAGATTTCTGACGTGAGGTATTAGATCGATGACAGGTCATGATAGATAGATTGGTAGATAGATAGATAGGTAGACAAAGAAAATTTTGGAAAAATTTTGGGATAATATCAAAGATTTTACGTGAAGATAAGAAAAAGAGAAAGGGAAAAATTTAGACCTTATATAAGAAATAGGCACGACGCGAAAACACGTTAAGATCAGGCACAACAAAAA